TTCTTGGGTTATGTTCACAAGATAGCAGGCTTCCTATCTGGGTTGGTGGTGTCGATCACCTCCACTGTACACGGCCGCAGAAGCCGTCGGAAATCGCATCTCCGACGAGCTCTCAAACCTCCGGGGACCAAAATGAGAAATCTGAATTGCACAGTAGCCCTCCACAATTGATAAACCAAAATCTGTCACTGTTTAGTTTTTGCAAATAAGTCCCTAAAACTTCAAACGAGTATAACTTCTTCGTTTCAACTCGGATTCACGAACCGTTTGCGCCTACGCGTTAGTGAGATCAATCTCGATTTTTCAACTCAAAAATCATAATTTTCTCACTTCAATTTCTTGTACTTCCTTTGAAAAATCATAAACTTCATTATATGGGTATTTTTGTCCCAATTTGTGATTAAACTCACTTAATTCCAATCTTTTCACATCAAACCAAATTCATACAACACCCAAAATAGTCACATGACTTAATAAGATTTTCCACAAAAATAATAAACCAAATATTATTTTTGAGGGTATTACAAAAGCAAACTAGAGAGAAAACATAAGTAGAAATCAACCAAAAATGGAGTTCCCTTCGATTCATGAAGCCTCAACAGATTTTAATTTATCCCTTGCTCCTAGGGTAGGTTGGGGTTTATGGTAGAGTATTAGTGTGTGTGTTTGTCTGTTTTTTTTTTTTAAAATTTATTATTAGTTTTAAAAAATTGGATAGGAAATGACTCATTTGTCCTAAAAAATGCCTCAACAGTTTATTCTAAAAAATTTCGACTAAATAAGAAAATACCACAGGATATAAGAGTGGAAATTTTTTTTACTTTGTGAAACTACAATTGAAAATATTTGCTCTTATGATTTTCCATCATTCAATGGATTCCTACAAATTTAAAATGTACGTTTAAATTGTAAAAGTGCTTTTTAGGCCACCTTTACTCATGAACGAGGTTCTTTACTCTCTGAACGCATATGAGTCTTTTAAAATGGTAAATTATGCGTTCATGTTGTAATTTTACTATTTTAACGCATATTTTACCTCCCAAACGCAACATTTGCTTTTGTGGAGTAAAATCTACGTTTAAATTGTAAAAGTGATTTTCAGATTGTTTACTCATGAACGAGGGTTTTTACTCCCTAAACGCAGAAGTGTTGTTTGAATGGTAAATTCTACGTTTATGTTGTAATTTTACTATTTTAACGCATATTTTACCTCCAAAACGCAACATTTGCGTTTATGGAGTAAAATCTACATTTCAATTGTAAAAGTGCTTTACAGGGCCTTTACTCATGAATGAGGGTCTTTACTCCCCGAACGCAGAAGCATTGTTTAAATGGTAAATTATGCATTCATGTTGTAATTTTAATATTTTACCTCCCAAACACAACATTTGCGTTTGCTGAGTGAAATCTACGTTTAAATTGTAAAAGTGCTTTTCAGGCTCTTTCCTCCCTGAACTTAGAAGTGTTGTTTAAACGATAAATTATGCGTTCATGTTGTAATTTCACTATTTTAACGCATATTTTACCTCTCAGGTCATTTCCTCCCCGAGTAAAATCTACGTTTCAATATAAAAGTGATTTTCAGGTCATTTACTCATGAATGAGAGTTTTTACTCCCTGAATGCAGAAGTGTCGTTTAAATGGTAAATTATGTGTTCATGTTGTAGAGCCTGGAATTGTACTTAGGGGTGGATTGAGAAAAACAAGAAACAAAGTGCAGCACATGGGATTGTAACCCAGCTCTTCTTCTTCTTCTTCTTCTTCTTCTTCGAAGAGTCTGTAGCTCTTAAAAAAAAAAAATTCTTCAAAATTTTCATAAATTACTAACTTTTGTTCTAGAAGTCCAATTGACGAACCACTTTTACATACTTACTCAGTGAATCGATTTTAATAATCTGAGGTAACTTTGATAACTATTGTTAAGATTTCAAAATTTCTTTCATTTTGATATTTTTGGTTCATTCAGCCGACAACCATGTCCGGTGGCGGAAGGGGAAGCGGGTGGCGGGCGGGATGGGGAGTGTTGTGATGGCTTTGGGGTTATGTTTTTCTTTTGATAATTGTTTATTTTCATTTTCGTGTAAAAATATGTGTGGCTTAAATTAAATTAAATTAAATTATTTATAATAAAAAAAAAAATCAAAGAAAAATAAACAAAGAAAGAGAAGAGAAACTGTTTTTATTTTGTTTGATATGGAACTGGCTACCTCTTGTACCAGTTTTTACTCTTGTTGTACTTAATTCTGAAAATACTAATAAAAAGACTTATATGCCCTCTAAAATGTATTATAGAGGAGGGAACCCTTTCATTTACATCTAACCTAGTACACATGTATATCAACTTCATACTTGATCCTCGACATTGACACCCCCTTGGATTTCGGCCAACATTCCTTAAAAAGGGTCCCGTGGTTAACTTCAAAGGGGTAATATCGTCAAAACACTCAGCTAACCCTGATTGCAGCAACCACCAAGGCCCACCCCCCCCACCCCCAAATCCATCCTCCTCGCCAATGGAAATTAATGCCTTGTAGATTGGTCTTTCGATGGGGTCCAAAATTTTGTGGTCCTTTTTATTTTTTGTTTGAACCAAAAAACATACAGTTCAACTATTTCGTCTTCCGATGACACTGTCTACCAAATATGTTGATAGGACCAGCACAGCAGATATGGTAGCAGTCAATGCGACGCAGTTTTGCCAGGCTTTGTACAGGGTATTAGGTGGACTATAGATGCTGATTCGGTGTGCCCATATTTATTAGTCAGGCACCGTACATGTTCGAAACCTAGATCCAATTTATTAGGCATACTCTACATTTGTGCACCTTTTTTGTGTGTGGTTGTTTTAAAATATCAGTACTTTAGAAGCACACGCAAAGTCGATTTATATCATAATAAAGAGGGTTTTGAACTTTTTATAATTTACAAAACTACCATCGATTTTCTTAAAATAAGCTCAATCTAAAAACCTCACAAAGAAAACCAAAAACACCAAAAACAAAAGGGTAAAATCGAAAATTAGTATATTAAGTAAACTCAAAAATAGGATAGCTGGTAATAGTAGATATTTTTTTGATTTTGTTTATAAAAATTAAATGGTATAGTATTTATCTGTAATACTAATGCTAAGAATGAATATATAACTAAATATCTCTAATAAGTAACCCGTACCAAAAAGCCGAGGTAAGTTTAGGAGGGTATTCATGTCCTTTTAATTAATTAACATGGCAATCTATATGTTTTTGAGACATAACTTTTTCGTGGCCTTTTACTAAAGTCCCCTGCTAGTATTACCCTTTCTGGATTGTTGGATATTTTTGGCTTATGTTTGGTACTCTTTTTCTTTCCACTTCTCCTCAACAATAAAGATTGCATGTGGGCTTTAATTAAGAACAAAAAAGAGGTTGGTATCAGTTTTAGGGATTAAAGTTGAAAATTTGATGATGACCTTGGTTTTAGCTTTTAGGGGTTTAATTTTGAATGTAAGGATTTAATTTGTAGGCGATGGGCGTAGAGAGGTGGGTGACTCTAGACTTTAGCGGGCAAGTTGACGGAAGAAAATTAATGTAGAGAGGTGTGTGAGTAATGCATGATTGAAATTTGTTTTTTATAGGTAATATTGATTTTTGGCGAATTTCTTTTTAATACAAGCGACAATCTAAACTACAAGAGGGAGGGGGAGTTTCTCACACACATAAACTACTATAAGGGTGTTATGGGGGTTTGAACATGAGACAACTAGTCTGTAAGTAAAGGTTTTTTTTTCACTAAGATATATAGATCTCGTTGGCTTTGACGATTTTTTAATTTTTTTAATTTTTATACAAGCGTTATTAAGGAAAGGGAAATTAAACTTAGGACCTTATGATATATGATATATGATATATGCTCTTAACCAATTATGATATATGATATATGATATATGCTCTTAACCACTTGCGTTGTTGTTGAGTGCAAGTTCTTCCCTTGAGTCGTTCTAAAAATGGTAAATTTATCATTACAGTTGTATAAAAAGTAGGTAGACATGGTGCGTATTGTCCCCCTGGTATTGTACAATTCATCACTTTCTTTATCAAAATTTATGACAAACAACCGGCCATCTTCCCATTAATAGAAAAAAAAGAAAAGAAAAAGGAAATGGCTTATATGGACTCCACAGTACCCACCTTGAAGTAAATATATATAGAGACACTCCTTCAAAGCTACACTACAAAGAAACAAAGAAGAAGATGGCTTCTGTCCCTGGAATTCTTACTGATTGGCCATGGACAGCTCTTGGAAGCTTCAAGGTTCTCTCTCTCTCTCTCTCTCTCTCTCTCTCTCTCGCGCATGCCTGTATGTAATATGACATGTCGAACTGCAACCTACGTATGCATAATGCATGCCATACCTCACCACATTCTTCCATTGTTTTCTTCATCATATATATGTGCATATTTTGGTGTTCTAACTTTTATACGGGCCTCTTGGATGTTTATGCAGTACGTGGTCTTGGCTCCATGGGTCATCCACAGCACCTGGTTGTTTGTGGCCAACGATGGAAAAGAAAGAGACATTTCATACTTCCTCATACTTGCAGTTGTGTTGTGGAGGATCCTCCACAACCAGATATGGATCTCTCTGTCTCGATACCGAACTGCCAAAGGCAATGGCCGGATCCTTGACAAGGGTCTCGAATTCGAACAGGTCGACAGAGAAAACAATTGGTCAGTACAAATTAACTAATAAATATAAACGCATGTATAATAACTTAGAAGGTGGTTAAACAATTGGTTATGAGCATTTATCCTTGCATCGAGGTGCTAGGTTCGATTCCCCCCTCCCCAATATCTCGCTTGTATTAAAAAATAATAATAATGAGGTGGCTAAACAAATATTTATTTATTTAATTTGTTTGGCTTTGGACTGCAGGGATGACCAAATATTGTTCAATGCACTCCTATTCTACACAGGGAGCAGGTATCTGCCTGGTGGTCAACACGTACCGTATTGGAGGGCAGAGGGACTTCTTTTGACCATTGTGCTTCATTCTGGTCCTGTGGAGTTCCTGTATTATTGGTTTCACAGAGCACTTCACCATCATTACCTTTACTCTCGCTACCATTCTCATCACCATTCCTCAATCGTTACTCAGCCAATTACTTGTAAGAACAAAAAAACTATTTAAATGTTTAATTACATTGATTTATTTGTATTAAATATTACTTAATATTTAATATATGTTTAATTTGTTGCAGCTGTGATTCATCCATTTGCGGAGCATATAGTATATTCTGCGCTCTTCTTTATACCAATTTTGGGAACTATGTTGACCAGAACTATGTCTGTGGTATCTTTTACTGCGTATATTACTTACATTGACTTCATGAACAACATGGGGCACTGCAATTTCGAGCTCATTCCAAACTGGCTCTTTTCTCTATTTCCTCCTCTCAAGTATCTTATGTATACACCCTCGTAAGTCTCTCCCTCAAAATTATTGTGTAATTACTTGATACAAATGGTTTTATTTTTTTTAATTTTTTTTTATGACATTAATTTAACAAAATTATTTTTGAATTTGTTTATAATTGATGTAGCAACTTAATTCTGTGCAGGTACCACTCCTTGCATCACACACAATTCCGAACCAATTACTCACTTTTTATGCCAATCTACGACTACATATATAGAACCATGGACAAATCTTCGGATGCTCTCTACGAAACTTCACTCAAGAGAGAGGAAGAAACACCAGATGTCCTTCATCTAACCCATCTAACAACACCTGAGTCCATCTATCATCTACCGCTAGGATTTGCTTCCCTGGCCTCTAGGCCCTACACATCAAACTGGTACCTGTGGTTGATGTGGCCTATGACATTGTGGTCTATGATTTTAACTTGGATCTATGGCCGTACATTCGTGGTTGACAGGCACCGTTTTGATAATCTAAAATTACAAACTTGGGCTATACCAAAGTACAGTTTGCAAGTGAGACCAATTTTTTCTTTAGACTATCGCTTATATTTAAAAAAAAATACAGAGATTTCAAACTTGCACTTTAATAAACCATATTCGGTAACGAAATTATTACTGATATTGGTTGCACTTTTATTTAATTTATACCTTAATGCAGTACTACTTGCAATGGCAAAATGAAGCTATCAACAGTCTGATTGAGGAAGCCATAATTCAAGCAGAAGAAAAAGGTGTCAAAGTCTTATGTCTGGGTCTCTTAAATCAGGCAAGTCTGTTGTTTTTCTTCCCTTTTACTTTCAAGGTAAATTATTTGAGCTCAAATTCACTTCTAAGTTAACCAAGTTATTAATGGTCCATGGTATATGTATGTATCTATGTGTGTATGTATGTATGTATGCATGCATGCATGGGTACTGTAAATTTATTTATGGTTTACCCTACAAGGGACTCCAGCTAGCTACCTCTACTGCTCTAGACGATCTTGGTTTCTCTCTCCCATAAATGCCAGTCGGCATAGTTGGTAACGAAGTAAACTGCCTGAACAGATTGACCAGAAAAAAAACCTGCAACATTTTTAAATATGATGATTAAAATTAAAGATATAATATGAATATTATTATATTATTACAAATCCATCGATTTTGAATACATGCTAAAGAACATCTGTTCTGCAGGGTGAGGAGCTGAATAGATATGGTGGTCTATATGTTCACAAGCATCCTCATCTCAAACTCAGGGTTGTGGATGGAAGTAGCTTAGCTGTGGCCATAACCCTAAACGCCATTCCAAAAGGGACCACCCAAGTTCTTCTTAGAGGCAACCTCACAAAGGTTGCTTATGCCATTGCTTTTGCTTTGTGCCAGAAGGGTATCCAGGTAAATATATATGTATCGAATTTTACGTTTTTTTATGACTCTAGCTCGCCTGTAAGAGTGAGAAATTTTATGTAGGATTGTCGTACCATGTCATCATCATGCGGACCGGTGTTGTGTCTAATCATTTGTCTTTGAATTGCGTTTATTTTAGGTAGCTACATTACACAAGGATGAGTATTTGAAGCTCACCAAATCATTCAGTGGCACTGAAAGTAGCTTGGTTGTTGCAAAAAGCTATGCACATAAGGTATCAATTACCTGCTACAAATTTTATTGTTTCAATACCATTTATCATCTATAAGTTCTGTTCTGATTTTGGATACTTGATTATGATATTGAAATTGTTTATGTAATGTGCAGATTTGGTTAGTGGGTGATGGGTTGAGTGAAGAAGAACAACTGAGAGCACCAAAAGGAACATTATTTGTTCCCTTCTCCCACTTCCCACCCAAAAAACTGCGCAAAGATTGCTTCTACCACTACCCACCAGCAATGAAGACTCCCACATCTCTTGAGAATATTCATGCTTGTGAGGTAATTAAGCAATTTTTTTTATTTTTCTTGTTATTAATTAGTAAATTAGGACTGATATATATATATAGTCCCCTTTTATTGAGGGGCACCCTTTAGGGCACCCTATGATTTTTCTTTTCAACGATCCAAATCATCTATTTTGTAGGTCTTCATTCATAGATCATCCTTGAAAAAATATTAGAAAATTGGAAACTGTTTAGACATCTAATTGTATCCTACAAAATTATTGAACATGATGCTGCAATAAAGTACTAAAATTTCAATAATTTAATTGAGCTGTCAAATGATATCGGATTCAAGTGATTTTTTGTAGAGATGATCTTTGAATGAATATCTACAAAATAGACGGGTTGGATTAGTGAAATATAATGCAGAGTAGGCCCTACAGGGATGTCCCTCAAATAAGCTTATTTGAAGAATCCCTCTTTCTATATATAATATTTATGTTATTAATTTGCATTGTTCATTATGTTATGAACAGAATTGGTTGCCAAGAAGGGTGATGAGTGCGTGGCGCATAGCAGGCATAGTGCATGCCTTGGAAGGTTGGAAGGAGCATGAGTGTGGCTACACAATGTCCAATATTGACAAAGTTTGGCAAGCAACTCTTCAACATGGCTTTCAGCCTCTCATCATTTCTACAACTAATCACACCAAAAATTAGTCGATCGCCTTCATAAAAACATTAAGTAATTACATGCACCTTCTTCTTTATTATATGCAATCCATCAGGGGTGGAGCCACATTGGGACCAGTGTGGTCCCGGGCCCCCACTCAAGTGTTTTTATATTTTAAAAGTAATATACTGTTATGTATTTTTATATGTATATTATTTCAAATACTTTACGTTTTGATATGTACCTACATGTGTTGTGGCGAACCTATTAAGGCACAAGGAGGTGCTTCCAATTGCCCCTTTGCTCAGCTGATTTCATTTATTTTTATATTACTCCATTTACTTAAGTTTACAATATAAACTTATGATGTTTTTGTTTTTTGGGGTCAAAAGTAATCCATTGTTTCAGTTGGGTTTTTAATTATGTGACTCTATTATGATGGCTTTTATTATCATGTTGTTTATCAGTTACTCAATTATGGGATATCACTCTTCATTGAAGTACCATTCATCCCAAAAATATGGTTTTGTAGGAGGATATAGTTTCGCTTTGGATGACTTCCATTGTTCAATGAGGATTTGCAGAATGGATTCGAATTCTTTGTTCGGATTTTCTCTGTCATGATTTGCTTGATTTTTGTCCTCCACATGCCACCTCATTAAGAATCTAAGGGATATAAACTCGACACATCATCTTTAAAATAAAAATCCAATTTACTCCTAATTAAAAAAAAAGAAAGAAAAAAGCCCTAACTTGACTAACTCCAACTTAGGATCTGGATTCCTCTATTTTCTTGACCGAATTTTTCTTGATTGGAGATTTTCAAGGCAAAGTTTTAACGAAGGCCCTAGGTTGCATCCAAGTTTCAATTCAATAAGTAAACAGTTTTTTTCATTGAATGAAACTTCTTTTCCAATAAAAAAGAAAAGTAACATTCATCCCCAAAAATAAAAATTGAAGTTGTTAGGTGGAGAGATAGGAACCTGTTTCAATATTAAGTTTAAGCCGACATATCTTGTCACCAATTTATAAGAGTTTGGTATGTTGAAAGAACTTTATTCAGTAAGGGAGCGGCACATCCGTGTCAAACAATACTAACAAGACCCAAAGTACGATATTATATACATGTATATATGTACATTATAATATATATGTATATATTATATGGGGCTAAATTTAGTCCAAGCCAATCTTGTGTAATAAACGACCCCTTAATTTTTACCTTTGTTTTTTTTTTTTTTGGTTTATTGTAACAACAGCAGGAACAGTAAAAGATTAAAATAAAGGTAAAACACATGTATATCAATAGTTTTATTTTGACCTTTACTTTGTAATTTTTGTTTTTTGGTAACAACACCAACAACAGAAAGAGAAAATGGAAGCATGTGTGTATCAATAGTTTTATTTTGACCTAGTAGCATTATACGCCTTCTCTCACTCTAAATTTCAATCTATAACTTGTTTCATGGTGCTGATTGATTACATAATATATATTTGATAGTTTATATATATCCGAGGGTGATGATTGATTCATATACTTCATATATATATATATATATATATATATATATTTATACTATACACAAGTCTTCATATAGTTAACGAACACTGAAAGAAAAACATAGTCTTTATGCCGAACATAATGGTTTTTAAGTTCCGACAAAAAAAAAAAGGTATTTAAGTTTCTCAAATTAATGTCAAAATTTGCATTGATTTGTGAT